ATCCAGTAAGCTATCAAGCCTCTTGTATAATTTATAGAATCTAATTAGGAAAAACGAATTACTTGTAATACGAAGTCAATTACAACAAAGGGGAAGCAGTTCGTAGCTATGGCAAGTTATTAATCAACTTTATTGCCGTTGTATAATTGGTATGGGTATGCAGTTAAATAATAAAATGTCAAAAACATTAAGAAATATTGTGAAAACGTTTTTAAGTTTGTATGTAGTTATTTCAATATTTTAATATGTATAAATTACGTGTCTCGTTGTTTGTCCGCGATGGACTCCTAAACTACTTAACCGATTTTAATCAAATTTGCACACCGTGTGCAGTTTGGTCCAACTTGAGAGATAGGATATTTTTTTTGCCCATGAGTGACCCACAATTTTTTTTTTGCGAATTTAAGGATTTTTCATAGGACATGACAAAGGCTCGTCGAAAAGGGCAGAACAACGTCTGCCTGGCAAGCTAGTTTCTTATAAATAACATTTCGCAATAAATTACTTCACTAACTCGAACTTCATTCAACGGCGCCATTTTATGTTGACGTTCCGTTCTTAAAAAAAGATTTTAGAAATTAGTATAGTTTATTATAAACAATTAATTTGATGGCGGACTATACTTTTCTTCGAAATATATATTTTTTTAATTCTCTAAACTGAAAAGTGATAACCGAATTATTTTCTCGAGATTTAAATAAAATAAGCTAGTAGTTTTACTTTACTTAGCCACGCTGGAGCTATATAAGGCTACCGCTCGAATTGGTCGGTTCAACCGGGGTTGGATCACGTAGGACATGCAAACAAAGCATCCTTAGCCATCTTATTCCTCAGGCGCCACAACGCGTCTGCATTGTACTGAAACGTACACATGTATCCTACATGTTGAATGTATACTACATGTTGATGCCTATGGTCACAGCATCCACTTAACATCAGGTGGACTATGTGCTCACTTATTCTATTAAAACAATTGTGAAACTCTCAGAGTTTCACAATCGCCTCATTTTGCTCCTGTTCTTAATTACTAGGCGTAAGTTGAGAAATTAACATTTTATTCCTAAAAAATGTTTTTCATCACAAATGCAGCGTCAGGTGGACTATGTGCTCACTTATTCTATTAAAACAGTTGCGAAAATCTCAGAGTTTCACAATTGCCTCATTTTGCTCCTGTTCTTAATTACTAGTAAGTTGAGAAATTAACATTTTATTCTTAAAAAATGTTTTTCATCACAAATGCAGCGCGAGTCTACAAAGTGGCGATAAAATAATATTTATGGAGAAAGCCAACGCACTGTTATCTGAAACATGTGCGCTCTAATATTTATGACGTACCGCAAAATTATGAGCCAGTTTTTTAAAACATTTCATAAAAGTCAATAATGCAAAATTTGAGCGTTTCTACTGTGCATATTTATAATCTCTAGTACTAACTTAACTTTAAATACTTTAGTGAGCGGCGTAATCTTAATAATTTTTATAGATACTATGGTGATAATTAAGGATAATAATTTTCCACTTACTAGATGTCGCTAGTTGTGGCAAAAGTAAAAATTTTTGTTACCTGATGTCAGTTAACTGAGAAATTAGTTTTAAATAATAGCTTATCAGTTTCTGAAGTATATTATATTAATACACAAAAACAATGCCTCAGGGGTTCGATCCTTAATTTATTGCATTTTTAGCTCTTTTTTTTAATTTTCTATTTATGGTAGTTTGGTTTATTAATTTCTAATCTAATTAATATAAAATATAACTAATAATACGGAAAGAAACATTAATCCTTACATTTTCCTAAGAAATTATCTTCCCATCTACGAAAACTGTCAAATATTTCATCTCATTGCAAAGTGGCGGTGCCCTGGTGGCAGAAAAAGTCGTGGATGCTCTCATCTCTAAGCACTGCAGGGCATGTTTCCAGTGATATTTAACCCTTTCCCTTTCCCATGAATCAAATATGAACATTTGAATAGTTTAACTATTGTTGGGTGTCTGTTTCGCATGCAGGGAATCTGTTAAAGTAAAAATCTTTAAATATTATAATATCTTCTTTTTTAATACATTAAATAAAGTAAAAGACTATAAATCTGCAAAAAATAATTTAAATAAGTTCTGAAGTCGGTGCCAAGATAATATTATTTATTTATATTTTTATATAATCATAAGATAGTATTTATTTATGTTTTTATATAATTATATAATGTACGTAATTTATTAATTTTATGTATATAATTTATATGTTATAGTGCGTTACACACACCTACTTCATATTTTTATCTCTGCATCACTCAAAGGTTGACTGGTAGAGAATGCCTCAGGAATTAAGTCCGCTTATACATATTGTATGAAGTTTTAATAAATAAACAAATAAATAATAAATTATATGGAAAATAATAATTTCTTATATCTACACGAGTACACGACACACAAAATAAATAAATTTTGTGGATATTATTGCGTTTAGCTCTCTCCATAGTCGGGGTTTCTCTGTGTGATAAAATTACGGATGATGATATTCGCAGTAGAACCAGACTGACCGACATATCCCAACGGATTAGTAAGCTGAAGCGGCAACGGGTAGCTATAAGGCTTGAAGAACCGACAATCGACGGAAAAAAAGGTTCTCGAGTGGCAGCCTCGTACCGGTAGACGAAGTGAAGGACGACCTCCCACTAGAAGGAGTGACGATTTGGTAAGACATGCAGGAGCTCGATGGATGCAGGTGGCTCGGGACTGTGTTTCGTAGCATTCTTTGGGGGAGGCATATGTTCATCAGTGGACTTGTGAAGGGCTGTAATGATGATGATAAGAATGATATCGCGTTTACTTTTAACTCTTAATTCCCGACGTTTCAGACGCAATGGAAATTATTTAATTATTTTTAGTTGTTTGTTAAATTTACTAAATTTATTGTCTTCTTTTAAATTTGCAGGCAGATTATTTTAAACTTTACAGGCATGAGCATTAAATATTACGCTAGTCGTGTGAGTACTTTGCTTATTTAAACCAATATATCAATTTTTTAATAGGAAAAGGGTGATACACGAACACACAGTCCACCTGATGGTAGACTGTGTATGTTGTCACCCGTGAGGATTAACATGGAATGCCTCCTTTCCAGTAAGTAGGGTCTCCGGTTCTCTACACTCACCATACGAACTCAGCAGCGTTAAGCTGTTATTTTACCCTGGTATTCTGTGAGAGCGACTCATTCGTGCTACAACTGTACTACTAATATAGTTGCAATATGGCTTTACCACGTAACAAATTATTGCTTCATTAGGAAACCTAAAGCGGAGGTGTATGTTCAGCAGTGGAGATTTGATAGCTTGTGATGAATCAATGAATTAGTGGTATTAGGATTGCATTTCATGGGTTTTAATTTTTTTACGCGTAACCCTAATTCTTTTTCTAAAATAAAAGTAGCCTAAGTTACTTCATATAACATCAGCTATCTGCTCTAAATATCGTCAAAATCGGCCGGAATAAACAGGCAGTCAGACAAGCCAAAATTTAAAAAAAATGTTCTTTTTTTTGTTATAAGTATCGTTTATACTTCATATGACAATTCAATTTCATTTATTTGTATACCTAGATTTCTTTCCATTTTGAAGCCTCCATTTGCAGAGTGTGCATTTTGTTTCGGTTATAAGATGAAGTTTAAACGATCGTGGAATGAATAAATTGATATGAGATATTTATAAATTTACTAGTTGATACCCACTCGCTTCGGTGGGCGCATGATATAAAATATCAAGAAATGATTTTTTGATGGGAATATCGTAAAAGCCGTCCCTAGTGAGCATCTACATTGCAAAATGTGTAATAAGTATACCAAAACGCAAGTCAATCGGGTTTTAGAGATAGCGTGATGAGTCACTCAGTGGTATTTCACTTATATCTTAATATATATAAATTACGTGTCACGTTGTTTGTCCGCGATGGACTTTTAAACTACTAAACCGATTTTAATCAAAATTGCACACCGTGGCAGTTTGCTACAACTTGAGAGATAAGATTGTTTTTTTTTACCCATGAGCGATCCACAATTTATTTTGCGAATTTAACGATTTTTAATAGGACATGACAAAGTGTCGTCGAAAAGGACAGAACAACGTCTGCCTGGCAAGCTAGTAATATTTAAAATATATAAGTGAAAGTAATATTTATAATATAAACGTTACTTGTATTAATTATTATAAAATGTACATATTATATTAACCTATTTACCCTATATATAGGGTAAATCCATTCATTCCACATTCAAACACGCGCGTGTTTTTATATACTTTTCAAAAAACTTTTCGAGCCACAGGATCACGTAAACGGCAGTATAAAATAAAGTAGTCCAGCAAAAAAATTTCTCGCTTATTGCTAGACTTTTTGCCCGCTCTTCGCACCGACAAATTTTATAAAAATATGGCTTTTTCTCTTAGCTTATTATTATTACATTAACCTTAATTATGTTTCTTTATCAACGGCTTTAAATTCCGCGTTTTGGCATGACATTTGCTATTAGCTTCGTTTGTCACTAGGGTTGTGGGAGGCCTATGTTCAGTTATGGACTTTAATAGGCTATGACGGTCAAGAGGATTGACAATTGAAGCTATGGACATTTTAAGTCTGGCAAAAATGAGATGTTTATACCGCCATCTGTCAGAAGCTATGAATATTTATGGGATTTCCTATAATCCTCTTACGATACCCATAGTTGATGGATTATTTTACGCCTTCATCACACGGCAGAACTCCTATAAGAAATATGATGTTCGACCTTGATCGTCTAACTAATTGTCGTTATTGAACGTTTTAAACCTATTTTTAGAGATTAATAAACCTCTTTTTATCAATAATTTTTAGATGTTTCTTTAAGGCAAGTACTAAGCGCTACTGCGGCAATTTGTGGAGAAGCCGCTAATGAGGTACACTAAAAATGGACATTATTTTATAACTGACAGTCTCATACGGGACACGACTTTAGGTTTTTCAAAGTAAGTGCCTCATTCTGTTTTTGGCTCTTCTCCAACCATCATTAAGGCCGCCACAATAGTTATATTATAATAGGGTAAGGGTTTTGTGATGTTTTTAAGCGATTCTTTATATTGTTTCTGATTATTTGGATACTGTATTTCATGAGTTTCTCTTTTATTCAATTTGAATTTCAAAGTTAATAAAGTTGAAATTCAAAGTGAATAAAACAGAAACTTTGAGTTACAAAAATGGGGATCTAAATTAGACGCATATGTTTTTTAAATATATTTTCTCTGATTTTTCGAAAACAGATGAACCGATTTTATTGATTCTTGGTTTCATAAAAATGTGGTGTTCTTCAGGAGTGAACCACATAAATATTGAGGAAATTTTTCACCCCTAAGTGTGGGAAAAATTGGGGAAGAAATTTTTGATGTTAGTATTTAGACGACGTTCTGGTTGTAACATTGAACTCGTGATGTTCCTTTAAATGTTTAAAAGGGTAAACAATTAAACTTAAAAAAAGTAAAATAGACTTCATAAGTAAAAAATATAAATAATTTTCACATAATAGCTTCTGAAGTCTGGTCTTCTTTTTTTTTCGATACCACATTTATCGACAAAATAAACATTTTAACAACATTTTAGCCACCTCCTAATTTTCACAAGTATCAAAAAATATAAAAGCGGCAAAATCATTAGTATGTGTATATAATTATAAGTTAACAAAACAGTGTAATGTTTTTTTATATTTATTACCATTGGCAGGGGTCTTTCATTATAAATATAATAGAATTAAATAATTCAAAAGTACTTAGAAAGGATAATTTTTTCAATTTTTTGAGATTATTACTGCCATCATTTCTAAATGAAATCGGGAGTTAAATTTTTTCCTTAAATATAAAATGATAAGCTACTAATTTGCTGTTCCCAACATTTACTCCTTAAAAATTTTTTAATATATACTATAAACATATACTATATAAGAAACCTTTACACTAACCTTTATACTATAAAATACTTTTACCTTTTATACTATAAAAATAACCTTTACCACGAACACATTTTCGGAACATCTGAAAAATCATAAATTTTAAGATTGATGTGTAACACTGAAAGGATGGTAGAGTTCTGACCCGATCGATTGTTTTTAAAATTTTAATAACCGAATTGAGGTGGTATCCCAGAACACTATTCAGTTATAAAGAATAGTTCGCACTGGACCGAATTTTTATTAATTAATGTATCGTCTTTGTAGCACTACCGAAATTGGTGATTAAGAACAACGAGTAAATATATTAAAGGTGTCTTGTGCTGAAGCCGCCGACTCTAGCACTTAAACGAAAATTTACTTAATAATTAGATGGAAAATGAAAATTTTAGCGATGGGTTTTAGTTTATAGGGGTCATTCTCTAGTTTCTTTCTGATATAAATTCAAGCTAAAATTAGCAAATATTGTCTTGATTACACTGTGATAATATTTACTTTAATATTATTTTGAGCACGGACATTATGTCTATGATTCTAACACTGTAATAGCATTGACAATGTTCCAAGGGTTAAAGCTTAAACTTACACATTGGCATGGATCCAAAGTTTTATTTATTATGAACCAAATATTGTTAAACAAGACCTACGGTTGCCAACCTGTCTGCCAAACGTAGCACATATGGCAAATATACTCACTATAAGGCAATCTATGGTTTTTTTTAAAGAATACGGGTAACACGAGCACACAGTCCACCTGATGGTAAGTGGATGCTGTGGCTCATAGACATCTAAATTTACCCTCGCTTAAGAATCAAAACGCAGATGCGTTGTCAACCCTGAGGACTATGATGGAATGCCTTGTTTCCAGTAATAAAGGGTATCCGGATCTCACTACACTATAACTCAACATACAAGACACAGCAGTATTAAGCTGCTATTTTACGCTGGTATTCTGTGAGAGCGTGTTCCTTCCCCGGTCGAGCCGACCTATTCGTGCTTCTACCATAATATGGCTCTGCGCGCAGAGTAGCTCTACCACGTATAAAAGTGGCCTATGTTTGGCAGTGAACTTTTGACAGGAGGTAAGATCTCTAAAATCACATATTCTCATAAATAATGTCATAGTCTCATACATTTAATAAAAAAATTAGATTAACATACTATTTATTCGTAGCAGAAAGAGATAAGAGGATGGTACTTTTTTTATAGAAATAAGGGTGACAAATGAGTACACGGTCCCCATAATAGAAAGTGGTTGATGTGCCTTATAGACCTATTATACATCAATCTTCGATTAAGAATTAAATGCAGATGCGTTCTCTCCCCTGACGACTAAGATGGAATGCCTCCTTGCTACTACTATTAGTCAAACAGACGACGAGGTGATTCTTGTTCTAGTTTATTAATTTTGTCAGAAAAAACAAAATGTTTATGTTATTAGTAAGAAACAATAATATCCTCTAGACCAAATTTTGGATACAGCAAGTCCCAAAGAATGATAGTTATCCGAGTAGGATGGAATTATGGTTCACGAGTATCGGCGCAATCACAGGTACACTATTCCCTCACCCTCATAGTCCGACGGGATGCCAATCCGGCACGACCGGAGAGAAATCAGGTGCAGGGTCAACGAATTTATCTATTCTCCACTGCCAACATTCTGATCAAAGCTGCTACTGAAAATTTCTTGACAGAAAAACCCAATAAATAACTACGCCCAACCCGGGATTCATACCCAGGACCTCAACAGAAGACGCGATTACGACTACTGCACCAACGAAACAATCAACAACAATATTAATAACTACGTAAGGATTTAAAGTTATCTAGTAATTCTGATAAAACCAGCCATATATTATAACCTGTCGGCCATTACTATCTATCACACATACATATCATAGTCTTTTAACAAGGAAGGAAACATCAAGGCCAATTACATTAGTTCCTGAGCTTGCGTGTGCGTAGATTATTAACGTAATTTCTTTCATAATAATTCTTGTTTAATAAAACAATAGATTTCCGAACTCGTAATAGTTTAGCGTGGTATAAGGTTACTCGCTGTATAAGGGTGCTGAGTCGAACATGGACACGCAACCCCGAAATTTACCATTTAATTGGGCACCTTATCCCATTATATTTCATTCGATGACGCAGTTGTGTTTAGTTTTATGTAATGGACAAATTATTTCGCTATTTGTGTTGAGCGGTAAATTTAAATTAGGCGTTGTCTTAATTTATTAACATTGGTATTGATTAAAGAACGAATGATTGAATTCGACAAACGCACAATCTTACAAAGGTAGCCGTGGTAGCTCAGATGGTTAACGCTCGCTGTAAATATAACAGAACGCGAGTAACCTGGATTTGATCCCCGCCGGCACTAATGAAATTGTCAATTACAATTTTAAGTGCTGATTTACCACGTGCTTGGCGGTGAGGGAAAACATCGTGAGGAAACATGCATGTCTGAGGAATAAGAAAAAATATTTCGAAGACATGTGAAGTCCGCCAACACGCATTAGGGCAGTGCGGCAGACACTTCCTTGCCCTAAAACCCTCTCAGAAATGAGGGGAGGCCTGTGCCCAGCTGTGGGACGTATATAGGCTGTAACTTTACTTTACTTTACTTTATAATCTTTCAACCGGAGCCTAGTAATTTTTGTAGCAGTTTATCTTTGATGATTTACATCTATTTTAGCTATCACAGCCTATAAAAGTTCAACTGCTCCGTAACTAAACTCGCTACTATACTTGTCGAAATGTAAATCGACCTTTAGTTCTCAGGAGTGTCAATGCATTTTACGTAATCGGGCATTAATGTAGATAGATGTCTATGGATCACAGCATTCGCTTATTATCAGGTTGACAGTGTCAAAGAATATATACACTACGCGAAAAGAAACGACACTTAAGCATGTGTGCACGTAAAATCGCTTGCGGCTATGTGTGGGTGTCTGGATGTGTGCGGGGGCCATGAGAGGCGCGCGGGGCGTGGAACGGGCAGTCGCCGACTGCCCTGGTCGAGGGCTAGTAGTAATACCGATATTTTTCAGTATTAGTTAATATAAATATATTCGTCAAGTGATATAATATTTCAATTAATACATGAATATTACCGATATCTTAATGTACATATTACTATTCTATTCATGTAGGTATTAAGTTTATGTTACCAAGTAACGTTATTAGTTTTTATAGCCGTGTATGCTAGGTTTATATGCTTTGATAAATATTTTTGTTTTTATTAAATAAATGATATTATAATATATGTATAAGTATTACTGAAAGTGATTTTAAGTGATTGTAATTAAAATAAATTCCTCTACACAAAACAAGGGCCCTTGTTTTGTTAGTTTAATTTTTAATAATGTTTTATTATACCTAAAAATATGTGAACTCATTTTAATGATAGTCCATATGATCTTAACAAGAATTATGGGGAAATACCATGACAATAAAACTAATATGTCGCCAATAATTTTATTATATTACATTAACTGAAATACACACTATTAAAAATACCACTGAAGAGTTAAGAAATTTTAGATATCTATAAAGAGTTTTTGTATTAGTTCATTGTTGTATTTATGGATTATTTCATTAGAAATAGAAATGACTTATCTCCTTAACACATAGGGAACTATTTGTTGGCCTTTGGATTTTCTAAAAAAATATACATGCTACGAATTTTTGCAATTGTTAGAAATAATAATGAAAATTAAAAAATTAATCGAAAAATTCAAAAATATGTAAGAGTAAATTATTTTTAAAGGATCGTAGGTAATACTGATTATTGCGTACTGAAATACTAAATGTTGGTTAATTATTTAAGATTACCATTAACTGTCGTGCATATTTGGTTTTGTCGGAAGTTTTAATATTCCTCATTTAATAAAAGTTGATTTAAAATTGAACGTATCTTTCACTACCTAAATACATAAGTTTACATAATATATAACACATACCTACTATGTATCTTCTTTGGTACAAGTCTATAATATTTAATTTCGGTTCGATATCAACCCTAGCGTTACACGCTTCGACTCAAGGTCACCGGCGCTTAAGCTCTCACGTACAGGGAGTGTCACCGCTGTGACAGTGTGCAAGTTTGTCATACTAATTATATAAAAATATGTAACTAATTACATTTCATACAGGCGTATTCTGTGTGCTATGTTGTATACCTATTTCAAAACTCCACCACATACAATCAAGTGGAACAGTCTGGCTTGTTAACAGAGCTGGCTTATAATGGTTAAGAAAATTAAGATGTGAACTTACCCAACAGTAACGTCAAAAATGTTGCTCCCCACGGAGCTCGAGACGGCCATGTCTCCGAAGCCCTTTCTGGCGACGATGACCGACGTGATGAGGTCGGGCACCGAGGTCCCGGCCGCCAGCAGCGTCAGCCCCATCACCTCGGGCGGTATTTGTGCCGTCGCCCCGGCCACATTTGCCCACCACACCATAAGGTACGAGAAAAACGCTATCCAAACTATAGACCCTATAAATGTTATAGGGAACAGATTTTTCCCTGTGAAAGAAAAATACATTTGTTATTTACAAGCATTTATTAAGATGACTGGTCGTGTGTTTGCGGACTAATGCCAAGTTCCTACATTTACAAACGCTTCGTTTTCTTTTATGAGCCGTTAGGCAGTAAACGAAGTGCATGAAAACCTCTTTTTGAAACAAAATACCAGTCCAAATATTTATAAACCGTTTAAAGTTTTTTTCATTCTAAATTACTTAATGAATATTTTGTAATATATACTGTTTTACCATGCATCTCATAGTAATGAAACGGATCGTTACGGAGAAAAAAACGTTTCTTGAATATCGGGCTGAGAATCCAGAGTGGCTTCCGATAGATGGCGTTATAACTAAAATATCCAGACTGGCGACGAGACTGGGTTTAGCGCTACGAAAGGCAATCCGGCTGCGAAGTATAGCGGATAAGGCAAATTTTAATTATAATTGGAGATGGCTTTGTCCAGCAGTAGGCTTATACGGGCTATAAAGAAAAAAAGTTTTTTTTCTTAATAATAAATGTGACAATGAAACTCCCGTCTATAACAATATTAGTTGTCCAGAGAAGGCGTATTAATATTTATAGGTCTATTGTATTGTTTTTCTGGCTAATTTTCCGATTTTAGACTATAGTCACGACGTCCAATCTTCAGAGGCTATTATAAAACACAGTAGGTATTATCTATAGTGCCGTATGAGTGTTTTTCTACCGCTAGTATCCCGCAGACAAAGAATTCTACAGTTGAGTTGTTGCCTTGATGACTAAGATGGGATTGTTTTTATAGCATTGGGTGACAAACGAGCACACAGTTTACCTGATGATAAGTGTATGCTGTGGCTCATAGACATCTACATTTATCCTCAATTAAGAATCAAAATGCATATGCGTTGTCACCCCTGATTTCTAAGATGGAATACCTCAATTCCAGTAAAAATGGTCTCCGGTTCTCTACACTCACCGTAAGAAACACAGCAGCATTACGCTGCTATTTTACGCTGGTATTCTCTGAGAGCCTGATCCTGTCCCATTCGCGCTATAACTACAGTAGTACCCGGTTGACCGAGCTTTGCTCGGTATTTTTCGCTCGGTTTTTTTAAATTCGTATGTTTTGGAAATTAAATTTAGATACAAATTACATACTGATGAAATACGAATAATATTTTTTGATCTTAGCGACATAATAGAAAAAACTGAACTGGTTATTTGAATAAAAAATCATGAGTGCAATTAGTTTAATTTAAATTTTTGTGTTTTTAAAAAATACTAAAAAAATAGATTTTCTCAAAAAAGAAAGGAACTTTATAAAAAAATTAAAAAAGTCGGTCGGTCGGTCTGGGCTCGAACCATGGTATTACGATTTTGTGACCGCTCAATATACCAATTAAGCTATTTGTAATCATTAACAAATTGTCAAAATTTACCTTCTTATTCTAACGATATTGTAGCAGTTTTTCATTGCCTAAAAACACGGACAAAAAGACATTTTCTAAAAATAAATCCTAGCTAGATCGATTTATTGCCCCCGAAACTCCGAGATTCCGATTATATATATATATATATATATATATATATATATATATATATATATATATATATATATATTTTTTTTTTAGAATTTAGCTCGGTTTAAAGGTATAGGATAGCTGCAGCGTGACTCTACCACGTAATGATCTGGGATCCCTCGCACTCTGTAATTTTTTACTGTGGGCTTAAATCAGAGTACAGCAGTGGATTAAGAAATAAGTAAGGTAGTGGTATCTACGAGACAGAAAAGGAATTCTATCACCTAGTAGCGTATGTGAGGGTAATATGGTCATTTTCTAATAATTCAAAATGTACAGCATTGTATGCGTAGATGGCTCTGTAATATGGTAGCTCTTCATCAGTCAATTAAATATCAATATATTTATCGATGCCAATTTGACAGTTAACATTATAGGACAGATTATGATCATTAAGTTTTTTTTTTAAATTGTATATTTGAATTGTTCCCAATTATGGCCAGTTTGTTTGCTATTTTTTCTTAATATATTAGTATTTAAGAAAAAATAGCAAACAACAATAATTTTTTGTCTCTGTCCTCGTCCTAATTATGGTTTCATAGGGCGGCAAAACTTAACCATATTACCCTCACGCACCCTACGCAGAGGCATTATATAGCCCTATAAAGCACTTGTGCGATCGGAGGTACGCCAGCGTATATTTATAAGTATATTAGACCTGAAAATTAACAATTCACATTTTGGGATTTAAAATCAAGAACTGGTAGTCAAATATCTTGAGATTTAGCCCAAATAGTCGTCATGTAGGTTTAGATAGAACAATGGTTCGAAGTCAATAGAGATTTAAAGAGCTAAGTAGTTGAGCGCTTTGTCTCAAGTTTGAACTGCAAACAATCCGAATTCCGTGTTTAAGTATTTTAAGTAATTCAATATAGTAACGTGTTCCGGTTGTTAGCTGTCCCGCTTCTGCAATCCATAGAGGATGCTTTTAGAAACACGCGTAGATTGCCCTTATAATACTATGCAGTATCACCCATAATGTACTAAGAATTATAGGGAACAAAGTAAATTGCCCTACTTTAAAATGCACATAATCATCGTTAAATTTACAGCTCATCAAAAGCCACTGCTGAATATAGGCCTCTCTCATGGAATACCACAAAGCGTGGCCCTGAACCACCTGCCATATAAAATCCATCGAATTCCTGCATTTGTAATCAGGTCGTCACTCCATCGAATGGGTGGCCGCCTTTTACTTCGCTTACCGGTACAAGTCTACCACCCGAAAACCTATCTTGCCCATCGGAAATGTATAATATACCCAGCACTTTATACATAACTATGGTTGTATATATTTATTAGGTATTTTATATGCTATTAGCACCTATATCCCTTTAAGTTATTGCAACTTATAATTTAAATAAATGAATAGACTTGAATCTCATTAGTATATCTGCAAGAATAACCCTTATTCTACGACTGGTCTAAAAATGGAATGAGCTTATATTATAAAAAGAACGCTCTGGAATGTTATAAATTTAAATTTAATGCAGCAACGGATACTTTAATTTTTCTCTTGGTAGACACTAAGCAAGAACAGCAGAATATTCTCAAACTAAAAATGCTTATCTTACTAGAACAATTTTAGAATTAACATTTAACACAAAGTTCAAGTTTCAATGAGAATTTTTTCTTAATACTTTAACAAAACGTAACCTTCGATACTAGAACTTCTCCTTGTCCAAGGACAAACATCCGGAACCCGGAACAATTATTTGGAGGGCATAAGAATACCGTGTAGTGGCGGTTAAGAATATCCACTACCCCGTATCTTCCCGTGGGTGTCGTAAAAGGCGACAGAGGGAAACAGGCAGGAGATGGGCAGCAGCGTCTTCCTGATAACAGCATCTGTACGACAAAAAAAAAACTGCGGTTGCCAACCCGCTCGCCAAGCGTGGCAACTATGGCAATATACCCCCCCATGAACAATTACACAAATAAACGGCCCCCAGTCCCCGGCAGCCCCGCTATTCCTGGCTACGGTGGCGACCATGGTAAAGGTGGGGCAGGGGGTGCTAAGAATCTCCAGGGAGGTTCGGTTGCCACCTACGACGACTCGACCTGGCAACATTTAACGCATGCACCCTGAGGACTGACGAGAAGATCCTGGAGCTGGAAGAAAAGATAGACAAGTTGCGCTGGAATATTATAGGATTATCCGAGGTCCGAAGAGAGGGGGAGGACACAGTGAGAGGGAATCCGGCAACTTGTTCTATCACCGGGAGGGCGACCATCTGTCCCAAGGAGGTGTCTGATTTATCGTCCACAAGTCTCTCGTCAACAAAGTTGTAAAGATTGGGAGTGTGTCGACGAGAGTCGCGTACCTGATACTCAGAATCACGAAACGGTATTCGCTGAAGGTCATACAGGTTTACGCACCAACCTCAGCACATCCCGATGAGGAGGTGGAGGAAATGTATGAGGATATTTCCAAAGCCATGCATTCCTCCAAAACCCACTACACGGTGTTGATGGGAGACTTCAACGCAAAACTAGGCACAAGAGAAAACGGTGAGCTGAAGTTAGGGAAATTTGGAGTGGGGCAACGGAACCGAAGGGGACAGCAGCTGGCCGATTTTATGGAGAAAGAGGGACTCTTTATGATGAATTCTTTCTTTCAGAAGCGGCCTCACAGGAAGTGGACCTGGTCGAGCCCCGACCGTTTGACAAAAAATGAGATTGACTTCATTATGACGACCAGACGCAAACTGTTCAGTGATGTCTCAGCGATCGCAAGGGTGAAAACTGGAACCGATGGTTAGAGGCACACTGAACCTAAACGTTAAGTTGGAGAGGTCTCGTCTAATGAAGTCAACGCTCCGTCCCCCTCGTGCTCTAATCCAGAATCCCCGAAAACTTTCAGCTCGAGTTACGTAACCGCTTTCAGTGCCTACAAGATTGCAATGCAGTGGACGATATGAATGACAAGCTCGTGGAAACTGTCCATGCGGTCGGAGCTAAGTTCTGCAAGACCCGCCGCAGAAGAACACAAAAACTATCCGATCACACTCTTAATCTCATGGCTGTTAGACGGGAGATGAGGCTGCAATCGTCAACAGATTTGACAGCATACAGGCAACTGAACAGACAGATCTCCAAATGCATGCGGCGAGACTTAGGCACTTTAATACTGCTCGTATTAAAGAAGCGCTCGAGCGGAACCAGGGCTACAAAGTCTTTGTCAGAGATCTGTCTGCCAGTAAGAGCCAACTGTCAAAGCTGAAGACTAAGTGTGGTAGCATCGTTTCCGGGATACCTGAGATTTTGAGTGAGATTGAGAGGTTCTATGGGCAGCTGTACACATCTTCGTTGGAGCCACACGCAAGTGTGAGTAACGATCCAAGAGCAAGTCTTATCCGACACTATTCCGATGATATCCCGGACGTCAGTCTAAGCGAGATTAGAATGGCTCTCCAGCACCTTAAAAACGGCAGGGCCCCA